CAATATATGGCTCTTCATCATATGGAGGGCAAGATGCCTTCTGAGCTTCATGAATCAGAGAGTAATCATTATCTTAGCTATAACAACATCTCTTCTACGGCATCGATTTCAAAGAAAAGAACAAAAAGTCTTCAAGACCTTCATCCGTCACTTTCCCTCCTCCTCTCCTCCCTTCCCCTCCCCTCCTCTATCTCTCCTCATACAGCTGATTCATATTCTGCACATGAGTGGTTGAGATCAGAATCTCTCAACTTCAGCACCACTGACATTTGGGGTCAGAAAGTTCTTCATGGGGGTTGGCTTTTTCACTGTAGGATTTTAGCAGATGTCCTGACTTTTACACACAGACACCAGTAGCACTCTCTCATCCCTCTTCCTCCCCAGCTAGAACAACCAAAAATATTTCTAGATTTAGCCAAATGTTTCCTGGGGGGCAAAATTGACCCCTGTTGAGAACTGCTGGCTTAGACAAATTACAAATAAAAACATCGGCTGTCATTGTCAGTAATAATGGCTCTTATACGTGGTATTATTGATATTATAAGTGTTCAACAACATCATCTGATAAAGGAATTTGCCTATTGATGAATTAGAATAAAAGCCACCTGCTCTCTGCTAAGCTCAACATTTATCATGCAGTCTCTTTTTCCAGCATCTTAGAAACAGTGTGAGCTGTCTTTGCTACTTGGGTATAATTTAGAAGATGTGTCTACATTGTGGGCTTTTTTTTTTTTTTTTTTTTGAAACAGAGTCTCGCTCTATCTCCAGGCTGGAGTGCAGTGGCGTGATCCGAGCCCACTGCCACTTCCGTTTTCCGGTTTCAAGCAATTCTCCTGCCTCAGCCTCCCGAGTAGCTGGGCCTACAGGCATGCACCACCACACCCGGCTAATTTTTTTGTACTTTTTAGTAGAGACAGGGTTTCACCATGTTGGCAAGGATGTGGTCTCTTCTCTTAGTCACCAAATTTATTAGCTTTTTTTCTTGGTAAGTATGATTTTTGCACTTGTTCTACAGAAAATTAATTGACTTCCAGGCCAGGCAAGGTGGCTCACGCCTGTAATCCCATCGCTTTGAGAGGCTGAGGTGGGTGGATCACAAGGTCAAGAGATCAAGACCATCCTGGCCAACATGGTGAAACCCCGTCTCTACTAAAAATACAAAAATTAGCTAGGTGTTTGGCATGCACCTATAGTCCCAGCTACGCAGGAGGCTAAGGCAGAAGAATTGCTTGAACCTGGGAGGTGGAGGTTGCAGTGAGCCGAGACTGCGCCACTGTGCTCCAGCCTGATGACAGAGCCGGACTCCATCTCAGAAAAAAAAAAATTAATTGACTTCCCAGGAAGTGATTTAATAGAATTTCTTAACTAACAATCCATTGCAGATGGGAGTGGATCATTGTTCCAATGATACTCAACTGTAAGCTATAAATTGTCATAATTCTTATAAAATATTTTTGGCAATTTGTTGGAAATATCAGGACATATAAATTCTCATTCTATGTTCCCATGGAGCCCATATGCATTGTAATGATTGTTATGTTATTCTAATATGTAGTTTATATTTCTTTTTTTAAATTTTTTTATTGCATTTTAGGTTTTGGGGTACATGTGCAGAACATACAAGACAGTTGCATAGGTACACACATGGCAGTGTGTTTTGCTTCCTTTCTCCCCTTCACCCACATTTGGCATTTCTCCCCAGGCTATCCCTCCCCAGCTCCCCCACCCCCCGCTGGCCCTCCCCTTTTCCCCCCAGTAGACCCCAGTGTTTAGTACTCCCCTCCCTGTGTCCATGTGTTCTCATTTTTCATCGCCCGCCTGTGAGTGAGAATATACGGTATTTCATTTTCTGTTCTTGTGTCAGTTTGCTGAGAATGATGTTCTCCAGATTCATCCATGTCCCTACAAATGACACGAACTCATAATTTCTGATTGCTGCATAATATTCCATGGTGTATATGTGCCACATTTTCCCAATCCAGTCTATCATCAATGAGCATTTGGGTTGGTTCCAGGTCTTTGCTATTGTAAACAGTGCTGCAATGAACATTCATGTGCATGCGTCCTTATAGTAGAACGATTTATAGTCCTTTGAATATATACCCAGTAATGGGATTGCTGGGTCAAATGGAATTTCTATTTCTAAGGCCTTGAGGAATCGCCACACTGTCTTCCACAATGGTTGAACTAATTTACACTCCCACCAACAGTGTAAAAGTGTTACTTTTTCTCCACATCCTCTCCAGCATCTGTTGTCTCCAGATTTTTTAGTGATCGCCATTCTAACTGGCGTGAGATGGTATCTCAATGTGGTTTTGATTTGCATCTCTCTAATGACCAGTGATGATGAGCATTTTTTCATATGATTGTTGGCCTCATATATGTCTTCTTTTGTAAAGTGTCTGTTCATATCCTTTGCCCACTTTTGAATGGGCTTGTTTGTTTTTTTCCTGTAAATCTGTTTGAGTTCTTTGTAAATTCTGGATATCAACCCTTTGTCAGATGGGTACACTGCAAAAATTCTTTCCTATTCTGTTGGTTGCCGATCCACTCTAGTGACTGTTTCTTTTGCCGTGCAGAAGCTGTGGAGTTTCATCAGGTCCCATTTGTCTATTTTGGCTTTTGTTGCCAATGCTTTCGGTGTTTTGGTCATGAAGTCCTTGCCTACTCCTGTGTTCTGGATGGTTTTGCCTAGATTTTCTTCTAGGGTTTTTATGGTGCCAGGTCTTATGTTTAAGTCTTTAATCCATCTGGAGTTAATTTTAGTGTAAGGTGTCAGGAAGGGGCCCAGTTTCTGCTTTCTGCACATGGCTAGCCAGTTTTCCCAACACCATTTGTTAAACAGGGAATCCTTTCCCCATTGCTTGTTTTTGTCAGGTTTATCAAAGATTGTATGGTTGTAGATATGTTGTGTTGCCTCCGATGCCTCTGTTTTGTTCCATTGGTCTATATCTCTGTTTTGGTACCAGTACCATGCTGTTTTGATTACTGTAGCCTTGTAGTATAGTTTGAAATCCGGTAGTGTGATGCCCCCCGCTGTGTTCTTTTTGCTTAGAATTCACTTGGCTATGAGGGCTCTCTTTTGGTTCCATATGAAGTTCATGGTGGTTTTTTCCAGTTCTGTGAAGAAAGTCAATGGTAGCTTGATGGGGATGGCGTTGATTCTGTAAATTACTTTGGGCAGTATAGCCATTTTCACGATATTAATTCTTCCTAACCATGAACATGGAATGTTTCTCCATCTGTTTGTGTCCTCTCTTATTTTGTTGAGCAGTGGTTTGTAGTTTTCCTTGAAGAGGTCCCTTACATTCCTTGTGAGTTGTATTCCTAGGTATTTTATTCTTTTTGTAGCAATTGTGAATGGCAGTTCATTCTTGATTTGGCTTTCTTTAAGTCTGTTATTGGTGTAGAGGAATGCTTGTGATTTTTGCACATTGATTTTATATCCTGAGACTTTGCTGAAGTTGCTTATCAGTTTCAGGAGTTTTTGGGCTGAGGCAATGGGGTCTTCTAAGTATACTATCATGTCATCTGCAAATAGAGACAATTTGACTTCCACCTTTCCTATTTGAATACCCTTTATTTCTTTTTCTTGCCTGATTGCTCTGGCTAGAACTTCCAGTACTATATTGAATAGGAGTGGTGAAAGAGGGCATCCTTGTCTAGTGCTGGATTTCAAAGGGAGTGCATCCAGTTTTTGTCCATTCAATATGATATTGGCTGTTGGTTTGTCGTAAATAGCTTTTATTACTTTGAGATACGTTCCATCGGTACCGAGTTTATTGAGGGTTTTTAGCATAAAGGGCTGTTGAATTTTGTCAAATGCCTTCTCTGCGTCAATTGAGATAATCATGTGGTTTTTGTTTTTGGTTATGTTTATTTGGTGAATTACGTTTATAGACTTGCGTATGTTGAACCAGCCTTGCATCCCCGGGATGAATCCTACTTGATCATGATGGATAAGTTTTTTGATTTGCTGTTGCAATCGGCTTGCCAATATTTTATTGAAGATTTTTGCATCTATGTTCATCATGGATATTGGCCTGAAGTTTTCTTTTCTTGTTGGGTCTCTGCTGGGTTTTGGTATCAGGATGATGTTGGTCTCATAAAATGATTTGGGAAGGATTCCCTCTTTTTGGATTATTTGGAATAGTTTTAGAAGGAATGGTACCAGCTCCTCTTTGTGTGTCTGGTAGAATTCGGCTGTGAACCCATCTGGACCTGGGCTTTTTTTGTGTGGTAGGCTCTTAATTGCTGCCTCGACTTCTGACCTTGTTATTGGTCTATTCATAGTTTCAGCTTCCTCCTGGTTTAGGCTTGGGAGGACACAGGAGTCCAGGAATTTATCTATTTCTTCCAGGTTTACTAGTTTATGTGCATAGAGTTGTTTGTAATATTCTCTGATGATGGCTTGAATTTCTGTGGAATCTGTGGTGATTTCCCCTTTATCATTTTTTATTGCATCTATTTGGTTGTTCTCTCTTTTCTTTTTTATCAATCTGGCTAGTGGTTTGTCTATTTTGTTGATCTTTTCAAAAAAAACAGCTCTTGGATTTATTGATTTTTTGAAGGGTTTTTCGTGTCTCTATCTCCTTCAGTTCTGCTCTTGTAGTTTATATTTCTATTGCACTTATTATTGTGGCATTCTGAGTATATGCTCTGTCACTGCTTTCATAACTATTTTTTAGTGATGTTTAAAATAAAAGACTTTAAAACCCATTCGTTTTGTGATTTGAGGCTATTCCATGAGACAGCAGTAAGTAACAATAACAAAAGAAAACTTAAACAATATAAGCAATAACATGCAAATCAGGAGAAAATGGTGGTTGAGAAGAACTATACTTTATCAGATGGATGCCAGCCAAGGTGAGTAATCTAATGCAGTTCATGTAACTTGTGCTCAGGCTTTAGGTTTAATAAGTTAGCTTGTAACAACTAACACACGTTTTACATACACCTTTCGGATAGGTGAAAATGTAGTGAATAATTGGACTCGTTACCTTTTCTGTGAATAGCACTATCTTGCTCAGTGTGGGCTGACAGATCTTCCTTTCCTGCAGTTCTGGGGGATGGGAAGGCAGAGATCTGTGTCTGGCGAAGCCCCTCTGCCTGGCTGGAAGATGGCCAGGCATCTGGAGAGGGAGAGAGAGAGGAAGGGAGAGAGGAGGGGGTGAAGAAGGGAGAGAGGAGGGAGTGAGAAAGGAAAGGAGGGAGGGAGAGAGTGAGGGAGGAGAGAGAAAGGAAAGGAGGAAGAGGCAGGAGTGAGAGGGAGAAGAAGGGAGAAATGAGAGAGGAAGGGATGGAGGGAAAGAAGGGAGGGAGGGAGAGAGGAAGTGGGGTGCGGAGAAAATGAGGGAGGGAGAGAGAAAGGAAAAGAGGAATTGAGGGTAGGAGAGGGAGAAAGGGAGGGGAAAGGGAGAGATAGTGTGAGGGTGGGAGAGACAGAGGGAAGGAGAGAAGGGGAGTGAGCAAACACACTTGCGCAGGTCTCTTTATGCCCTTATAAGAGCACTAATCCCCTTCAACAGGCTCCAGCCTCATGACCTGATGACATCCCAAAGGCCCACCTCCTAATACCAGGAATATTGGTGATTTTCACACCTGTGTAAGAAAGGCTCAGTTAGTGCCATTAACATTAATTTAGGTGAGAATGACAGACCGCAAGATAGATGGTACTGCAAATGCCTTATGGATTCCTTCTCCAGGCTACACAACAGGCTCCCTGAGGGCAGGAGCAGGTTTCGGGATCCCTGTGAGTCTCCCCAAGGCTCCCATCACAGGGCTCTGTCCCAAAGCTGACGAAACTCTTGGCATGACAGGATGAGACTGTGTGGCGTTTTGCTTTGGCTGCCTATGCCACTGGAGATTCACTTTCACCAAAGAGTGAAGGCCAGAGTTGAAATGCAGACAGACAGGTCCACAATGGCCAGACCCTGTGGGGTTTAGCTGCACAAATCCATTCTTTTGACAAAGACTGGTGCTCCCAGGGTGTAGCACAGCTCAGCAATGGAAGCTGGCCCCCCATGGTGGCCCTGGCAGCAGCCTGGGGCAGGCTCTGCACGCCAGGACTTGCTCTCTGGGAGGGCACAAAGCTGTGCTTTCTGTTCAGCAGCTGTTCCTCTTCCAGCTGATTAGCTTCTAACCCAGAACTAGGCTTGGATTGGGGGGCAAGGGGCAGGTAGTCTGCTCCTTTCTGTGACATGTCTCCAAGAACACATCTGTCTTCATGTCCCTCGACCCTGCTTGCTGTCTGATCAGCCCATGGCTTCACCCACATTCACGTCTCTTTCTCTTTGGGAGTTTTGAAGGTCCTTCTCTCGGGGGCTTGAGCATTGCTGCTCCTTTGGATTACCTCCCATCAACCTGCCCCAGAAGGGGCAGGATTGTAATGGATGGTTTTCCATCTTTAGCACAGGTAGATCTGGGGGAAATGGGGATGTGAAAAATAGAAGTAGGCTCATTTAAGAACTATTTTATATTATGCCCAGTTTTCAAAGTCTTACTGAAGGGTGTAGAGCCTTGGTTAGGAGGTTTGGGTGTGGTTCTAGGGGATGACCTGCTGCTGGGAGACCTGGGTAGCAGGAACAGCCATTGTAGTGATAGTGTGGTGATGATGAGGATGATGATGATGGTGATGTAGTATCTATTGCACACCTATTGTTTCAAAGTCGAGTAAATTTACTCATTAATTCCCCGCAATCCTACCATCATCCTTGTTTGACAATTGAAGAAACTGAGACCTGAGAGGTTGAAAGTCTTGTCCAACATCATGGGCTATTAAGTCAAGATGCCAGGCGTTAAACTCCTGGCCACAGGACCTTACTGACAATACTCAAGGTTTGGTTTCCATAGTTGAGAAATCAAAGACGGCCTGGTTGACTCCCAGTCGATTTTTTTTTTTTTTTTTTTTTTGCTCTAGAAAATGTTAAAAAGTTTAACCCAAGTTGCCTCCTTACATATTTTAAGTTCCACCTAAAGTTTCCTCTGTGCAGATGGTAACCTAACTGGATGTGTATACAGACTGTAACCAAGGCTTGTAGCAAATAGCCCCGCTTCAGCTGATCAGAGCAGCTGAGTGTCAGCCAGTCACAGGTGATCAACTGCTCAAACTGCGCTCAAATCAGGCAAACGTGGAGCTGTAAGCAGCTGTGTTTCTGTATCACATTTCCATTTTCTGTAGGTCCCTTTCTTTTTCTGTTTATAAATCCTCTCTGATCATGAGCCAGAATCACTGAGGAGGGTTGAATCTGTCTAATTCTTGAATCATTCTTTGTTCAGTTAACTCTATTAAATTTATCTAGAGTGTTTTCTTTTTAAACACAAATATTCTATTATAGTCTCTAAAAATCCTTTTATTTAGGCCAAACCCTTAAAAACATGTGTGAAGTGGAATCTTCTCTCTGTGCTTCTTTCCTTCCCACAACCCTCACCAGTCTTACTCTAGCCCTTGAAGGGAATCAGTTTTTGCATAATTTACTTTTATTTTATTTACTTATTTATTTTTGAGACAGAGTTTGGCTCTTGTTGCCCAGGCTGCAGTGCAGTGGCGCGATCTCATCTCACTGCAACCTCCACCTCCTGGGTTCAAACGATTCTCCTGCCTTAGCCTCCTGAGTAGCTGGGATTACAGGTATGTGCCACCGCGCCTGGCTAAGTTTGTATTTTTAGTAGAGATGGGGTTTCTCCATGTTGGTCAGGCTGGTCTAGAACTCTCGACCTCAGGTGATCCGCCCACCTCAGCCTCCCAAAGTGCTGGGATTACAGGTGTGAGTCACTGCACCCAGCCTAATTTACTTTTATTTTTGCTTCCGTGAGAAATCTCTTGAATCCTTCCCTTATACTAAAGAGTAAATGCATGATAAAAGATTGGGGCATTTCTTTTCTATGTAATGATGGAATGACAGGCAGCAGCCAGCAGCAGATAGTAGCAAATAAACGTTTTAGCATCATTCCGGTTTTAAAAAGTCTCTTTTTCCAAAAGTGCCCCATCCTACCCCCATCCCCATTAGGAATATGAGAACAGTAAGGCCTAGAAAGGGGCCTCGACCGTGATTATGAGTCGTTTGTAGACCTGGCCAGAGTTCAGAGTCGTTTGTAGACCTGGCCAGGAAATCACAGGGCGGGGTTAGTAACATGAAGCGACTTCCACCCTGAGATGTCAGATTCCTGACATGGGGTGATGCAGGGGGCTTGGAACATTCCAGAGGAAACAAAAGTGAGATGAGCAGAGACAAAGAGCTGTGAACACCAGGTTCAAAATGCACGGGTGAGGGTGTGGAAAACTTCCCAGGGGTGGCGGCTGCCCAGGTCAAAGGATGCCAACAGGAAGTGCAAACCCCCAGGGTCCCAGGGCTAGCAGGAAGCTCTGCCTCCAGGCCGTGCTGCTTGCGAGGCCTCTATGCTTCGAGGAGTCCCAAGGTGACTCAGATTTCCTGAGAAGCCTCTTATCACAGCCAGCACAGACATCTGCGCCTTTCCTCGCCTGAGATGTCACCAGCTCAGGGCCACTCCCTGCCCCAGCCTGATCAATGGGGCTTTCATCACTCCCCAGGGTGGATCCTAGGAGTGCCCCGTGACGCATGCTCAGATGACTGCCTCTCTAGGATTTCTGTTTGTTTCTGCTTCCCTGTCCTCCCTCCACCCAGAAGCTCCCAAATGTCCAGGAAGAATTGACTAATTCTTCCCATGAGCTTCTTGCCCACAGAAGGAATGGGGCCACCGCTGTAACCTTATTTTCCACTAAGTCAGAACAAGAGGCCTGGACAGAAAGAGGGTAACTAATAAAGCACAAGGACCAAGTATTTTAAATCACCCTTATGAATGGGTTCTGTGGATGTGGTTTGTCCACAGGGAGGTGGTTTTGGGGGGGTGCGAATCACACTCCAGCTGTCCCTGACTCGAGTCACCAATATTCTACAATCTTACTACAAACCTCTCAAAAGACCATCTTGGGAGACACTAGCAAGGGCATGAACTGTCCCCTCTGACGTTGCTGGCTGGTGGTGGAGACCACAGGGCCTTTCTGTGTGAGACAGTACTATATGGTCTCTAGAACATTCTGAAAGACAGTTCTCAGTAAATAGATACCCCAAGGGTTATTCTTTGTAAGTTGATCTTTAGTCTTAGAGCTGTGATGGAGCCCTAAGATCCTTCCACTTTAGAATTGAGGAAATAGAGTTTTGGAAGAGTTAGGTGATTGACCTAAACCCTTAATAATGTCAGTGACGTTGTTCGAACTCCAATGTAAGCTTCCTGACTCTCACTCTAAGGTGACCGCTCCCAACCCTGCCCCTGGCAGATCAACCCTCTTCCCACAGAGAATGCAGTTTTTATTTTCTAAACAGCTCCTTTGCCAACCAGTAAGTTAATAGAGGGTGCCAGACTCAATATGATGTAGTCATAGCCAGGCCAGGGTAATTCCAGATACCAGGTCCTCTGATTTAAAAATAGTCTTTTGGTTGGGTGCCATGGCTCACTCCTGTAATGTCAGTGCTTTGAGACCCTGAGGCAGGAGAATGGCTTGAAGCCAGGATTTTGAGACCAGCTTGGGCAGCACAGTGAGATCCCCTCTTCGAAATTTTTTTTTCTAATTAGCTAGAGTGAGCTATGATTGTGCCACTGCACTCCAGCCTGGGCAACAGGATGAGACCCTGGCTTTAAAAATAAAACTTAGGCTGGCACAGTGGCTCACACCTGTAATCCCAGCACTTTGGGAGGCTGAGGCAGGTGGATCACGAGGTCAGGAGATGGAGACCATCCTGGCCAACATGGTGAAACCCTGTCTCTACTAAAATACAAAAAAAGTACCTGGTTGTGGTGGCTCAAGCATGTAGTCTAAGCTACTCGGGAGGCTGAGGCAGGGGAATCACTTGAACACGGGAGGTGGAGGTTGCAGTGAGCTGGGATCGTGCCACTGCAGTCCGGCCTGGGCCACAGAGACTCCATCTCAAAAAAAAAAAAAAAAATTAAATTAAATTTAAAAACAGCCTTTTAAAGAAATTCCAAAGATAAAGAAAGAGAACAACTAAGAAAAAGACAGCCAGGATCTTAACCCCTAAGTTGCCAGCGCCTTTCCATCCCTAGGCAGACATGCTGAGAAGGGGAAGCTGAAAGGATGCTGCGTGAAGCTCCTCGCCAGCCTGCTTGCTGGGCTGCTCACCCCAAGAAGGGAGGCCTACCTGCTTCCAAAGTGGCAGTTCCGGGGCATAAACATTCCTATAGCCCAGCGTCACACACCCTTGGGAAACCCATGTGGAGGAGATCCCACTGCTGCACCCGAGGGGCTTGCAGTCTTGTGTTGAAGACATCTCAGCAGCTGATGACAACTGGAGCAATGACTATGACAAGAACTTTCATCACAGACGTGAAGTTCTATAGAAACACAGGGGATGAGGAGCTGAGAGTAGAGAAGGCTTCCCAGACAGGGCACAAGTAGGACTGGGCTGTGAAGACGGGTAGGGTTTCTGCAGGTGAAGGAGAGGAGAGGATTCCAGCAGCTTGGGCTGGAGAGAGCTGGAGATGCTTGCTGCACTGCCAAGAGTCCTGTCTGTCGGGGGCGACGTCCCTGGGACTTGCTGGTTGGAACTCGAGTCCCTGGAGATGAACCACTGAAAGAGGAGGTTCTGGGGTCAAATGTGTCAGGGAGGGTAGCCCACTGTGTGGCCTTCTTAGAGTTCCACAATGCGCAAAGCTTACTGCAGGCTCTTAGCAAACCAAACCAAACACCACAAAACCTGTTTAACTGTTTTTAAGCACAGGGAATCCTCTCTCTTTATTTCAGAGAACATCTACTTTCATCCTGGGGAACCAGGACTCCAGTGGAGTCATTTTGGTCTAGGGTAGCGGAAAGGGAGGGGAGGAAGAGTTTTGACTTTGGAAAAGCCAGGGCCTGCTAAGGAGTTTACGATTTCATCCTGTAGGCAGTGGGAGCAGTAGTAGGACTTTTTCCCCTTATATAACATTTTTCCCTGACTACCTAAGTAATGTATAGTCATTGTAGAAAACTTCTAAGGCCAAAAACCGCCCCCTAAAAAACAACAAACAACCTTAGAAAAGAAATCTGCTTGCCCATAAGACAGTGCACAGAAATAACACATGCCCACTGAAGGCATCTACTGAGTGCTTTCCAGGTGTTGGCCCCCATTCTAGGTCCTGTGGATTCAACAATGAACACACCCAATGTAAATTCCCACCCTTGTGCAAGTTACCTTCTAGTGGGGGTTGCAGGAAATAGACAAAATGAATAAGCATCTAGTGGCCTAAATAATGAGAAGGATAATGAAGAAAGATGAAGCAAGAAAGTGGTTGGAGGGTGTATACCACCGCCATGGGCAGGTGTGGGCCGCTTTGGCAAGCAACAAGGTAATGTTTGGATGGGGACTTGAGAGCGGTGAAGTAGTGACATATGCAGATAAATGGGAGGGAGAAGGAGGAGCAGGTGCAAAGATTTGGTTCTGGAGTGTGCATGTTGGAGGCACAACAAGGAGGCTATGGTGGCTGGGACAGGAGGAGCTGGGTGGTGGGGGCGGGGAGAGAGTAGGAGGAGTGAAAATCAGAGATTGGGGAGACAGCGTTGGTAGGATGTGGGGCTTTGAATGATGAGGCTTCTGTCTGCATGGTAGGGGTAGCCAGGGCAGAGTTTTAAAATAGCTCTACAGTGGTCCCTCCCCTTATTGCCAATTTTGCTTTCCATAATTTGAGTTACCAGCCCTCAACTCTGATCCAAAAATATAAAATAGAAAATTCCAGAAATAAACAACTCATGTTTTAAATTGCACCTGTCAGTCACTTAGTAGCTGACTCCGATATCAAATCCACTGCGGCAGCATTGCAGTGCATGTGTTCAAGGAACCTTTATTTTACTTAGCAATGGCCCCCACGGTGCAAGAGTAGGAGTGCTGGCAACTCAGATATGCCCAAGAGAAGCCGTAAAGTGCTTCCTTCAAGTGAAAAGGTAAAAGTTCTCAACTTCATAAAGAGACAAAAAAATCATGTGGAGGTTGCTAAGATCTACAGTGAGAATGAATCTTCTATTTGTGAAATTATAAACCAGGAAAAATAAATTCCTACTAGTTTTGCTATCGCAACTCAAACTGCAAAAGCTATGGCCATGTGTATAAGTGCTTTGTTAAGATGGAAAAGGCAGTGAATGTGTGGCCAGAAGACATGGACAGAAATGTGTTCCTGTTCTGACTGCTGGCAGTCAGGTCTGGTGCTATCCAGTTTCAGGAATCCACTGGAGGTCTTGGAATGTAACCCCTGTGGACAAGGCAGGACTACCATGTGGAGATATAACTCATGTACCATAAATTCACTCAGGTACAGTGGTTGTTAGTATAGTCATAGAGTTGTGTAATCATCAACGTTATATCATTTCAGAAACTTCATCCCTATTAATAGTCACACCCCATTCTTCTCTCCCCTAACCCTTGACAACCATCAATCTACTTTCTGTCTGGAGATTTGCTTAGCTGGTCTATCCTGTAAATGGACCACAGGATATAGGGTCTTTTGTGACTGGCTTATTTTATGCAGGATAATATCTTCAAGGTTTATCCACATTATATGAATACCCAAGTTCTTTTTATTGACAAATATGATCTTATATGGATGTACCACATCTGCGTGCCCCTTGCAGGGTGTGAGCAGAGGAGTGATGGGATCTGACTTTGATGGGACCACCATGCCTGCTGTGTTGAGATAAATGGAGACGGGCATGTGTGGAACCAGGGAAGTGGGTTAGGAGGCTGCTGGAATGTGTTGAGGATGTTTGTGTTGGCCTGGGTGATAGCAGTGGAGGTGGCAAATAGTGTCATGTGGGAGCACCTCAGGACTCAGACCTGGGATCTCTTCTCTATCTAGATATACTTCCTAGGTGAGCTCACCCAGTCTCTAAGTTTTAAATATCATCTTGCAATGGACTGAATGCAAGTGCAGTAGGAGTTATTAAGAAACTATTTTAGGGCTGGGCATGGTCTCACACCTGTAATCCTAGCACTTTGGGAGGCTGAGGTGGGCAGATCACTTGAGGTCAGGAGTTCGAAACCAGCCTGGCCAACATGGTGAAACCCTGTCTCTACTAAAAGTACAAAAAAATTAGCCACCTATAGTGGCATGTGCCTGTAATCCCAGCTACTTGGGAGGATGAGGCAGGAGAATTGCTTGAATGCAGGAGGCAGAGGTTGCAGTGACCAGAGATTGCGCCACTCCAGCCTGGGCGGGAGTCTCACAAAAAAAAAAAAAAAAAAAGAAAAAAAAGAAAAAAAACTATTTTAGGCAGATAGAGGAAAAGGGGTCCTTGGAAGGTTTTCATTTTTAAAGCAGCTCCAGAAATATTTCTTGTCTAGCAGAAAAGCCCTGGCTCTGAGACCCTGCAGGCGACCTTTGATAGGCAAATGCCAGCCATTAGAAGCTGGGTCCACCCAAACATGGCGATTCCCACCCTTGTCCTCTTGCCCTTGCCCCCACATGTGCATAGCCACATGGCTGCCCCCATAATATTCCCATGTGTGTAGAACATCATGGCGTCCTACATTTGCATATTAAAAGCTAGGGTGGGAGGGCCAGCTTTTTCACGGCCCACGTGAAAGGCATGCCTGGTCAAACCAATCCTCTGAGCCCTTTGCAAATCAGATACCACCTCCTCCGGCCTACCCATAAAACCGGCTGGTATCTGTAGCACTTGGGGTCTCCTTTTTCGGTTTTGGAGGCCCCCTCCCTCTGTCTCTGTACGGGGCAGCCTCTTCCTCTGCCTTCTCCCTTCTTTTTCTCCTGTTAAACTTTCCGCTTCTTAAAACCTCTCCATGTGTGTCAGTGCTGTTTTATCTAATTCAACACGGGACAAGAGCCCTTATGTTCGTCCACTCATCAGAGCCGTATCACTAGTGTCCCCCCTAAATCCATATGTTGAATTCCGCATCAGGCGCTGGGGCTATTGGGAGGTGATTAGCTCATAAGGATAGCACCCTCATGAATGGGATTAGTGTCCTCATGAAGGGGATCCCAGAGAGCTCTCTTGCCCACTTTCTGCAACAAGAAGTCAGTGGTCTGTAGCCTGGAAGAGAGCTCTCACCAGAATCACGCTGGCACCCTGATCTCAGACTTCCAGCTTCTAGAACTGTGGGAGATTTACGCCTGTTATTTATAAACCTCCTGGACCATGGTATTTTGTTACAGGAGATGAAGACACTTCTATATACGAATGACTTGCAGCTTCATCTCTGCAGCCCAAATGCCCTCTAGCCACTTAACTTCTTGCTTGACCTCTCTACTCACCAGTTCTCTGGTAGACACTATTTTCTAGGCTCCTTGGCTGGGCTATGAATTACACTGACATAAGGCAGAATAACAGGAGAAAAACCACAATTAATTATATATGTGCAGTGGGAGTCCCACAAAATATGAGACTTGAAAGGTTAAGTGATGAAAGCTTGTATAGCATCCTCAGCTACAGAAAGGAATAGGATTTGGGACTTCTAGGGGATGGTGGTAGAACAGGTTATGGGAAGGTGAGGGGAGGAAATATGTGGCAAATAAAGGTTGTCTTGTTATGCAGACAGAAAGAACATCTCTCAGGTAATAAAGGCTCCCTGGGAGGAGCCCTCAGAAGAACAGGTGATGGTCTGTCTGTGCTGGTGTCAATCTTATCTCCTTTCCTGTGTTCTTCCCTGATTATGAGATTCCTGGGGAAGGACTTCATGACAACTGAATTCCTTTTGGAGGATCTGTCCTTAGGCAGATAAGGGGAGCACAGAAAAAGCCTCTGCCTGCATCAGCTGCTCCCCTGACCAGTGCCCTCAGTTCAAAGTAATCAGCTCAACAAAGCCCAAAGGTTTCAGGGAGGCATTTCCTGAACTCCTTCACCTCACATTGGTGCATTCGGAATGGAACTCTTGATCCAATCCCACCCCAAATCTGCTCTCCCTGCTTCCTTTCTTGTTTCAATTAATTGCAAGTCAACCTTCCAGTTGCTCAGACTGAAAATATCGCAGTCATCTTTGATTCCTCTCTCTCTCACATTCTATAGCTAATTCATCAGAGAAATTTGTCATTTCCATCTTCAACGTATCTAGAACAGAGCCATTATCATCCGTTGCTTGAATCCGTGCAAATATTCCTTCTCAAGGGACCAAAGAGATCCTTTAAAAATGCAAGTCAGGTCTTGCCGTGCCTCTGCTCAGAACTCTGCAACAATTCCCCATGTCGTTTGAGATGAATGCAAGTCCACACATTGGCATACAAAGCTCTAGGTGGGTTGGCTTGCCATGAACTTGGACCTCGGACCTCATCTCTCA